CCCCCTCCCCACCGAGGGTGCTGGAGCCAGGACCGGGGAAATGGAGCCCCTGGCCCAGCCCCGGAGCCCACCTGTCTCCCACCCGAGCTGGGAGGCCACTGTTGGGTTTCCACAGGGTTGAATGACAGGGCAGTGTTAGTGGGGCTGGGGGGGCGTTGTCTGCAGGCAGCAGGGTCTGGGATGTGGCTGATCTCTGAGGACTCAGTTGGGGACTTCTCTCCCATAGGTCACAGGGTCAGCCCCTTCTCACCCTCCCCTTAACCGTATGGCCTGGCTAAGCCCCGGGCTCACCGGAGGGAAGCGGAGTCCTGGTATCCTGAGGGTGCCTGTGGGGGCAGGACAGAGTGGGCGAGGGCAGAGTGAGGGAGGGCAGCATGGAGGCAGGGAGCTGGCCACAGAGCCACTCCCACACAGCTGCCTCACGGCCCCTCCCCTGCCTGCCTGCCTGGCACCTACATGTGGGTTCTTGGTTGCCATGTGACCATGGCGTGGTCTGAGAAGGCAGAAACTAGCCAGAGGCAGGGCTTTGAGTAGGGCTCCGTGCTAAGCTCCCCTTACCTGGTTGGAAGGTTCTGGAGGCTGCCAGCCATCATAGAATGTAGGTTGGTAGGGTGGGACCTCATGGCCTGTCCAGTTGTCCCTGGGGAGAGAACCAAGCTGAGTCCACTCCGCTCCAGGCCGTGGGACGGAGGAGGGGACGGAACCAAGCCTCGGGGCCTTCTAGGGCAGGGGTGGGGAACCTTCTTGCTGCCCAGGGCCATTTGGGCATTTACAACATCATTCGAGAGCCACACACAATTATCAACTTAAAAACTAGCCTGCGGTATTCGGCCCAACATTTCATTAACTCGCCCCTCATGCCTCAGCAGGGCCAGAGGAAACGATTTCATGCGCCTTAGATGGCCCGAGGGCCGGACGTTCCCTGCCCCTGATCATGCCCACGCACACAGCCGAAAGGCCCCAGAACACCCGCGAAGGGGCAAGTGCTGGGCGCGAGCAGGTCCCACAGGGCGGGGATCTGTGGCCAGCTTCGCCTCTGCCCACGGAATTCAGAATATCAGCTCCAGGAGAACATGCCGGGCAATCGATCACACCGACTGGGGGTCGGACCTAAGGTGGGGGCAGGGCAGTGTGGATTTTTCCTCCTGCACTGTCATTGTACTTGGCCGCCTGGGTTGCCGCTTCTCAGAGTAGGGCTCCGTGCTAAGCTCCCCTTACCTGGTTGGAAGGTTCTGGAGGCTGCCAGCCATCATAGAATGTAGGTTGGTAGGGTGGGACCTCATGGCCTGTCCAGTTGTCCCTGGGGAGAGAACCAAGCTGAGTCCACTCCGCTCCAGGCCGTGGGACGGAGGAGGGGACGGAACCAAGCCTCGGGGCCTTCTAGGGCAGGGGTGGGGAACCTTCTTGCTGCCCAGGGCCATTTGGGCATTTACAACATCATTCGAGAGCCACACACAATTATCAACTTAAAAACTAGCCTGCGGTATCCGGCCCAACATTTCATTAACTCGCCCCTCATGCCTCAGCAGGGCCAGACGAAACGATTTCATGCGCCTTAGATGGCCCGAGGGCCGGACGTTCCCCGCACCTGATCATGCCCACGCACACAGCCAAAAGGCCCCAGAACACCCGCGAAGGGGCAAGCGCTGGGCGCGAGCAGGTCCCACAGGACGGGGATCTGTGGCCAGCTTCGCCTCTGCCCATGGAGTTCAGAATATCAGCTCCAGGAGAACACGCTGGGCACTCGATCACACCGACTGGGGGTCGGACCTAAGGTGGGGGCAGGGCAGTGTGGATTTTTCCTCCTGCACTGTCACTGCACTTGGCCGCCTGGGTTGCCGCTTCTCACATGTGCTGCACGTGACTCCCACCTGTCCCCGGAGCTGCTGTCCCCAGGACAGTTGAGGGTATATAGGCATCAGCTAAGAATATGTGTTCAATGGGAACAAATAAATTGTTTATTCTCTGAATCTTTTTAAGCAGTCGCTTCCCTTCTCTTTGCCTTAAAAACATGCTCAGGCCTTCCCTTGACTGTGTTACTACTGCTTTTAATCTGTTATTCTAGTCCCTTCTCTGTACCAACTTTTTTGAGAATGTGTCTATCCGCCCTTCCTACATTTCATTATTCCTTGCAACCTGATTCTTACCTCCGCCATTACTCTGTTGCTACCAGTTTTTCTAAAGTCCCCATAATCTCCTGATTGCCAAGTCCACTGGCTTCGTATGGCCCATGTCCTTCCAAACCACAGCATTTAGCATTGTTTACAGCTTGGGGTCAATTTGTGTAAAATGAAGCCACCTAAATATAACTTGCCTGAAATTCAACTCTTTTGAGGGTTTTTTCACCCTCTTTAGACTATTTTCTGTATTTTTGTCTTCCAACTCACTCATTCACTAACTTCTTGTTATTGTAAGAAATCAGAAAACATTCCAGGGCATATCTGACCTAGTTTTGTATTTAAAATGATACACAGAGCCAGAAAGTAGGAGGAGCCCACGGGGGCTGGGGAGAGGGAGGCATCGGTACAGAGTTGTGTTACTTGCTGAATGGGTACAGAGTTTCTGTTTGGGACCAGGAAAAAGTTCTAGAAATGGATAGTGGTGAAGGTTGCCGAACATTGTTAAGTATTTAGCGCCACTGAATTATACTCTTAAAAACATTAAAATGGTAAATTGCATCTTATGTACATTCTGTCACAGCTAAATAGATAGACTACATTGAACTATACTTGATGTTGTGGGATGGGTTGGACAACCACCCCCTAATGGGGCTGAGTTGAAAAGAACTCACTAGGCAAGATGCCGGAGCAAGTGGCTTACTTCCTGGTGGTTTCTCTTTCTAAAACCCTCTTCTCTCTTGGTTTTTATGCCTCTGCTTTTTTGTTTCTTCTTTTAACTCTCGGGAATGTCTCTTTGCCTCCTTAATCCTCTTTCCTTTCTCCACTTACATATAGAAGTTCCCCTTCTCTCTCCTGGACAGAGCGACCTTGCTCACTTAGGTGAGTTCCAGGGCTGCCTGTGGAGGGCTCGCCTCTAGGTGGCGCTGTCATTTCTGTGCTGACTGTTCTCAAACCCTCATAGTCAGGTCAGACCTCTCACCTGAGAGCCAGGGGCCCCCTGTCTCTGTGGGATGTTCACTGATACCCCAGCCCAGCACATCCAAGCTGGGTTTACCCCCTCCCCCCCCCGCCCCCCAGCTCTCATCGGTTTGGCCTTGTTGTCCAACTGTCCATCTCAGGGTTACACGGATGTGGCACCTCACGTTTGATCTTAACTCCTCGGCCAGTTGGTTGCCAAGTCTTACAGATGTTACATTTGCAGCAACTCTTATGTCAGTAATTCTTAAGTTCTGGGCCCGATTGAGACACATTTTCACTTTGTTCTTGACAAAAGTGAGAAAGTATTTTGGTAGAAGGTTGCCAACTCTACATTCTTGGGAGAATTGTTCTTTTTTCCTGAGATAATGCCTTTCCTTCTGAGGCGGGTGATGGCAGGCGATGGTTTTAAAAAGAAATGTTCCAGCCCTGGCGGTGGGGCTCAGTGGTTGAGCGTTGACCCATGAACCCGGAGGTCACAGCTCAATTCCTGGTCAGGACATATGCCCGGCTTGTGGGCTCGATCCCCAGTAGGGGGCGTGTAGGAGGCAGCTGATCAATGATTCTCGCTCATCATTGATGGTTTCTATCCCTCTCTCCTTCTCCCTTCCTCTCTGAAATATATATAAATAAATTGTTTGTACTTGGTGTAGCATAGAGTTGGGAGCTCCATGTGGAGTCCACCGCTTTGTTTTGAGATGTTTCTGGTCTGTGACAGTGTAGAGCTCGCCACACCCAATGCCCTGCCCTATGCCCCTCGCCCAGCCTCATCTTCCCTCACCGGCTGGTGGTCCAGGCCGGGCCCAGGCTCTTCCAGAGGTTACTGTCAGGCGGGCTTAGGTAGAACTTGAGCATGTCGACGGCTTCGGGGGTGAGGAGGGGTGAGATCACTTGGCCTGCGAGGTCACGCTCAGGGCACTGCGTCAGGACCTAGAGGGAGGAGGGCGACGTCAGGAAGCCAGGCTCCCGCAGGCCCAGCTGGAGTGGGCAGGGCCGGAGTCTCAGCTTCTTGCAGTGCCCGAGGCCTCAGGCCTGCTGCTCCTCCCGGCCCTCAGAGCTCCCGCTGTCCTTGGCTCCACCCCCAGCCCCTCTGGTCTGCCCAGGGCGCTGTACACAGCGGGATGGTGTGTTGGGGTCGAGGAAAACGTGTGGGGGTGAGTGAGGGGCAGACCCCACAGCCTCCCTCTACCCTCTGCCCGCCACCCTGGCCTCTGCTTGGTCTACGCTTCAGCTTGTACCTCCTCGCCACCCTGACCTCCCCCAACTCACCAAGTGCAGAGTCCGGAAGAGCATGTGCAGCAGCTCGGCGGCACTGGGATTCTGCAGATGGATGGCCAGCCTCCCCTGGGGACACAGGGTACCATCACCACCCTCCATCCACCCCACCTGCACCCGGACCCCAGGGCCCATCCCTGTCCCGGGCCTTGGTTGGGAGCCTGGCACTCTCCAAGGTCCTGAGAGGGGGGAGGGGAGGTTCCAGGGGAGAAGCCTGGGACGCCTGTGAGGCCCCAGAACAGGGGTGCTGGGGGCAGTGGTGTGAGGGAGGGCTGGGAACTTGTGGAAGCCACATACCAGGAGGTTGAAGCTGTACTTGAACTTCTGGAAGCAATCGACGTACTGCGCCGGTGTCCTCCCTGTGGGGGAGGGGGTGGGGAGAAGGCGGTGGGTCACAGGGTATCCTGAGGCACCACCCCTCTCCCCTGGCCCTCAGCACTCACCCCCGGGACCCGTGTTCTTTTTCTTCCCCTGTTTCTTCGTCTTCTTCGCACTGGCGTTGACCTGGGCCTTCATCAGCGGTTGCACGAACACCTCGATGTCCCTCAGGATGTGGTTCAGCACCTCCTGGACACAAAGAGCTTGGGCCTTAGGTGGGTAATCAGGCCCCCCTGGAACCCCCAACCTGTCCCAGCCCCAGCCCCTGCCTCTGCCCCAGTCCCCCCGCCTCCCCCGTCCCTCCTCAGCCCCAGGCCTGCCTTGGCCACCCTGGGACCTGGTTTCCGGGGGGAAGGGTTGGTGTCCCCCTTTGCCAGGCTCAGGAGCTCGGCAGGCCCAGACAGTCTGCAGTTACCTCGTCCCTCACTGGGTCCTCGGGGGTCGGGGGGCGCCTTGGAGGAGGCAGAGCGAAGGCGCTTGGTTCTCGGGCACTGGAGTGTCGTGACAGGGGCCGTGGGGATGGTGGCATGCCTACAATGCAAGAGGGCATGGCCTCTGATCTTTAATCTAAACCTCTCCTCCCCCGTCCCCACACCCCACACTTACTGTGCTCTGGGGCCATCCAGGGGGGCTGTTCTGGAGGGGGCCCCCACTCCAGGGGGGCTGCCTGCTCCCTAGGGAGTGGCCTTTCCAGAGGAGCCCCCCTCCATCTGTCCTGGCCGGGGTGAGGGACTCCAAATCGGGGTCTGCCGAGCACACGGTGGGGACACAGGCTTGACAGTGTTTTGGGGACAGAGGCTCTGCCCACACTTCTCTCCAGGCCTCCCCCTGGAACCTTCCCTGCCTCCCCCCCAACTCCCTGCCTCATGTGCCCACCTCTGAGCTCTCTCGGGTCCCTGGTCAGGCTCTAGGGACAGTCTCCAGTGTCCCCTGGGCCAGGCCCCAGCCCATCCAGCCTTGGCCCCTCCCAGCTCCAGGCCCTGGTTCCTTGGGCTGCAAGCTCCTGGGCTCTCACCTGGGCTGGATGGAGCTCTGCGCTCCTGCAGGGGGCGGGGCAGAGGCTGCCTACCTGAGCTCCAGCTCCTCCTTCAGGGCCTTCTGCAGGCTGGTCCTCAGCCGCTCTGCCTGGAGGAGTAGCAGGTGGGCAGGGGTGTGGGTGTGTGTGTTTGGGGAGAGTGATGGTTGTTGGGCCCCACACCCACTCTCTTCTTACCCCACCCCGGCCACTCACCCCCACTTCTGGGCACTGGAAGAGCAGAGTGCTGCCGCCCGGCGGGCCCGCCCCCTGCACGGTGATGGACAGGACGGAGTTGTAGGAGCAGGAGTTGAGCACCGCGTCCATGGCCTGGATGCTGTCCAGGCGGTAGGAGTCCAGCTCCTCCTGGGCCAGGTGGAAAGGTGGCTGTGAGGTCACCGAGAGCCTGGGTGGCTCGTGGGGGCTCCTGACCGGGGTCACCCCAGCCCGGCAGTGGCCTGGAGCTGGAGTGTCCACTCCCCTGCCCCCTGGCCTCTGTGCCCGGTCTCTTCCTAGGCCTGGGCCCTGCCCACGGGAGGGCGGCTGCTGTTCGGGGCAGGGAGGGTGGAGCCGACGCCCGGGGCTGGCTCTCCCACAGCTGGGCTAGCGATGACCCGCTGCAGGTGCGCGGAGGGCTGACCTTGGTCTCGATGTCCAGCAGCTGGAGCCAGCCGTCTCTGATCTGCAGCAGCAGGTTCTGGCTCCACACCCGGCCCTGGGCGTCCAGCTCCTGTAGCCGCTGCACGGCGTCCTTGGGCTGCCGGACGCCCTGCGTGCCCAGCTTACACGTCATCAGGTGCTGAGGGGCGAGGAGGCCAGGGCTGGAGCAGGTTTGGAGAGGGGGGCAGAGGGGGCGCACGGGGTGGGGGAAGGGCAGCCGAGGAGGAAGCAGGGCCTCCCCATAGAGCAGCCTTCCAGGGCCAGTGAGGCCGAGGGCTGTGCGAGGGGGTTTAGGCCTCCGGAGAGAGGACGTGGCCTTGGGCAGTCCAGGGGGCTGAGGGGGCCGGATGCTGGTCAGTGTGGGCTTCCACCACCCAACAAGTAAAGCGCGGACTCCTCTGGCGGGGATGCAGGGCCCTCACATTCCGTCCCTGGCTTCCTTTGCTGCTTTGGGAACCCGCTATCCCAGCCTGGGCCTTCTCTCTGACCTGCACTCCTGCCTCGTGCCTTCGCTCATGCTGGTCCCCACCCCCTTCCCACTGCTCATCCCGCGCCTCCCAGCGTCTTGGGAGGAAACCCAGGCCCCCCTCCTCCCGATTCCTGCCCCGTGGGGTGCAGTGATCTTATCTCAGTGCTGGTCTGATCATCCCCGGTTTCTGGTTTCCGCTGTTACTCTCCCTCCTGGGGGAGACCCCTCCTCCTCCCGTCCAAACGCAGCCTTCACAGGTCACAGTCCTGCCCTCGGTCCCCTCCAGGGCAAGTGTCATCTGCCTCCTCCCTGGCCCCACTGCCCTGCTCTCTGCCCAGGCCCCAGCGCCTCTCCTGGGGGAGCCGCCTGCATGCCCACGGCCCTGGCGTCGTGAGCAAACGCCCTGGCATCCTGGGCGTGCCTCCTCTTGCTCTCACCCGCTGGGCCCAAGGGAAGCCAGTTCCCAGCCCCTGCCCCGCCATGAAGCCAGGACCCTGGTCCCAGCCTCTGCTGCCCTGTGGAGTCTCCAGACCATTGCCCATGTCCCTCCCTCCTCCTTCCTGGGACAGCCCCGCTCTGATGCTGGGGTTCGCTCTCCCCACCACGCCCTTCCGGCCTGAGCTGTGTTGGTTGTGTCCACAGCCCTTCAGGCAACCGGATGCCACAGGGGCAGTGTCCTCCTCCCAGGCCAGAGCCTCCAAGCAGCTCTGCCCAGGCCCAGATACTGCCCTTGTGGGACCGCTGACCTCACACATTCCTCCTCGCACCTGTGCCAGATGCAGGGCAAAGAGCAGTTCCCTGGGACCAGGTGTGGCAGGGGGTGGGGCTGGAGACAGGGGGGGGTGGGAGTGGCTGCACGTGTCTCCACTGCTGCCCTGGCGTCCTCCAACCTCCAGCCCGGCCTCCCTCCCGCCCAGCTGCCCGGGCCTCCGGGGAGGCTGCCAGCCCGAGCCCACCTGACCTGGCTGGGCCAGGCTGCTGGCTCCGTGGCAGGACTTGTCTGGGTGTCTGATTTGGGGCAGGGCCTTGGGCACCAGGAAAATGGCATGGAATCGGGAAACTGTCTGGGCCCCGGGTTACTCACCTCCACCCGGTGCTGCGGGCAGGCGGGCTCTGAGGCCAGGCTGTGCAAGTACTCTTTCCGGTGCACTGCGGGGGACAGCGTGGGGTGGGGGGCGGAAGGCCCAGGTGAGACTGAGGCAGTGCGGGGTGGGCAGCATGCGGAGGGCCAGGGAGAGGGGATGGAGGGAGAACTTACTGTAGATGGCTTTGCTGCTGGGCCGGGACATGGTGACGCTGCTGAGTGAGTCCCTAGAACCTAAACTGAACCAAAGGGACAGCCGTCAGCTGCGGAGAGAAACCCCAGGGCAGAGGGGGCAGGTCGCAGATCTGTGTCTGGTCCCTGACCTGCCTGAGGCCTGGACCAGGCTCCCACCTGGGGCCTCTGAGACCCAAAGCCCTGGCCCCAGGGGCCTCTCCGAGCCATCTCCAGCCATGCCTCCTCCACCGAGGAGCCCTCCATGGGGGCTGGGCCTGGGGGCCCCAAGGCAGGCTCCCGGCCTCCTGTTATTTGGTCAGTAAAGCCATTTCGATGGGCCCTGGAAAGCTGGTGGCCGGGGACCTGGCCCAGATCCCGTCCTGGGCCCGAGTGTGAAAGAGGCCAAGACTGGGCTGCCCCCAGCTTCCCGCCAAAGCCAGCCCCGGTGCGGTCGGTTCAGTTCTGCGCGTTGGGAGGTCGATGTTGGCTCTTAAGCTGGGCACCGCTCACGAGGGTGTGTGGGCACGCTGCGCCCGTGCGTGCACACTTCTGGGGCCCTGCATCAGTGACCTGTGCTCCCCGAATGCCTTCCCAAGTCTCCTGTCATTTCGTCTTTCCAGACTCTGAACCCTCTGCCAGGTCCCTCTCACTCAACCCTACATCTCAGCTCGAGGATCACCTCCTTGGTGAAGCCCTCCATGAGCACCCCACCCCCCCGCCCAGAGCGCCCTCCTCACGCCACCCGGAACCTTGTCTGTTCCTTTAAAGACAACAGCCACCCGGTTAGTGCCGAGAGCCCGGGCCGAGGCCCCGATGAACACGGCGCCGTGGAATTCTCACCGCCACCGCATGTCGTTCCTTACACCCAGCCTGCTCGCGGACTTTACCTTCGTCAGCTTGTTTAATCCTCAAAACGTCCTCGCCCGGTGGTACTGTTATTATGCCATTTACCAGGCGAGGTGCCAGAGTGTTTATGTGTGTGCCTCTGTCACTGTGGGCACAGCGGGGCCTGAAGACGGAGATGATGACATGGGTGAAGGTGCGTGTGTGAATGTGTGTGTTCATGCAGGGCGGGGCCTAATTGAGGGTGTAGGTCAAGCATGTCAAACTCAAAGGCTAACACGGGCCAAATAAACAAGGTTTAAGCTTATGTGGCCGCAAAAAAACAAAAGCTTCAATTTTCATAGAAACGTAGGTTTATTTAGAAAAGTATAGTGTAAAAAAAAGAACAAGAGCAATGATAAAATTAATGTTTTCTTCCCGACACTTGGCACCTCTTCTCTCTACTCTCTTTCCTACTTGGGGGAAATCTTGTTCGCAGTGATTACTTTCAAAACTGCCCCAAGGTTGCCGAAACCGGTTTGGCTCAGTGGATAGAGCATCGGCCTGCAGACTGAGGGGTCCCGGGTTCGATTCCGGTCAAGGGCATGTACCTGGGTTGCGGGCACATCCCCGGTGGGAGATGTGCAGGAGGCAGCTGATGGATGTTTCTCTCTCATCGATGTTTCTGGCTCTCTATCTCTCTCCCTTCCTCTCTGTAAAAAATCAATAAAATATATAAAAACAAAAAACAAACAAACAAAAAAACTGCCCCAAGGTGAATCTCGGCAATTCTGGATCTGACAGGAGACTTCTTTCCTTTCATAATTGTAAGTAACTGCTCACACCGTTATATTGGCTGGGCCGCAAAAATATTCCTTGTGGGCAGCATGCGGCCCGCGGGCCGCGAGTTTGACATGCTTGGTGTAGGTCAAAGGTATGTGCTGTTGGAATGAGGCATCTAAGCATCATGAGTATGTCTCCGTTTTGTGGGTGTGTCCTTGCAACTGTGAGGAAGCGCCGGAAAATCCTGGGCAAAGGGTAAGAGAGCAGTCCACACCCCTAGTTACGGGGACTGGTATGAAAATAGCGTCTCCGATGGTGACAGTGGGGAATGAGTTGCCAGTAAACAGCTGAGGTGCTGTGGGGGAGGTGCAGGTCTGTGTGTCTTGTTGGGGGAACCTCTTTCCTCTCCAAGGTAAGGGGTGCTGGCAGCTGCTCCACCACCCCCCACCCCCGGTGCGGCAACGTTTCCTGCTCCTAGATACTGAAGAGTACATATGGCCAGCAGTGGTCAACACCTCTTCCTGCTCGCCCCACGCCAGGCTGGCCCTGTGGGTCCCCGTGGGTCCCCCCTGCAGCTTCAGCTGCTCAGATCCCAATGCAGGAGAGGGGAGGAGGCTGGCGTTGGCCTGTCTTGCCCCTGGCTGGGGAAAGGGGGCTGTGGCAGCCCAGTTCCCTCCACTTACCCCTGAGTTAGGGGCGTGGAGTAGGGAAGGGGAGTCTGCATCATGGCCTCTGGGAGAAGCGCCTGGAGCCCTGGCTGCCCTGCCTTCTTCCCAGCCGGCCAGCCCACGGCTGAGCCCCTCGCCCTGCGTGGGGCTGCTCCTCCTGGCTGCACTGGGCTGAGACCCTGGCCTGGGAAGCTCTGAGCTGCCCCCACCACCCTGGGGTCCCGGCAGCCACCTGGGTCCTGACCTTCCCGAGGGCCGGGCCTTACCTGGCTTCCAGTGAGGCCTGGGCCCCCGAGGGGGCTGGCGCTGGCGGTGACCCGGCGCCGGTGGTGGGAGCTGCGTCTCCTCCGCTAGTGCCAGGCAGAGGCCCTGTGATGAGGCGGCCCTGGCCCAGCTGATGAGGCCAGGAGGCGGCCACACCTGTGCTCTTTGGACTCTGGTGGGTGGGGAGGCCTCTAGGCACCTGCCCACACCGCAGCCTGGACCGGAGGCGCCGTGTGCGCCCACAGGTGCCCCAGGCTCAGCCAGGGACCCTGCCTCCCAGCTCCCAGCTGGCCTGTGGCTTTAGGGAGGGGCTCCCCTACCTCTGCCTTTTGGGCTCGAGGGCTGGGGCCCCCGGTCAGCATCAGGCACTAGGCCTGGGACAGGAGAGCACACCCCGGGCCTCTGCGGTCAGGGGGCAGGCGCTGGAGGGGCACCCAGGCCTCGGGAAGCTGTGGGCTGGCATGTGCGCCTGTGTGCGCATGTGCTGCATGTGTGGATGCGTGACCGTGTGTGCCCAGGTGGTCCAGGACATGGACCATGTAGGAGCAGGCGGGTCCGGGCACTGGGACCTCGGCGGGCATGACATGGAGGGCTGAGAGTTCCTTTGGGCAGGGCCTACCTCATTCGTCCTTTCTTCTGTCCCCTCCCACCCAGCAGGGACCCCACCCCCATTCTCTTCTGCTCTCTTACCTCCCCCACCTACCCCATGCCCTCTGACCCTAGCTGGCTTCGGCAAAGATGGGAAAGCAGGCACGACGCTAGATGCTGGGAGACGCCTTGGAACTCAGCATGAGTTCAGTATCTCCCTCCAAACAACCCAGCCTCCCCTCCCACGTTCCCTGCTCGTCAGGGGCACCACACCCAGCCAAGCACCCAAGCAGGGCACTGGGACCATCCCGAGTCCCCCCTCAGCCCCCACCGCCCATCCTGTGAGCGTCACTCCCTTAGCAAGTTACTACAGGTCCCACCCCCGCCCCCACACTCCCCCCGCGGCACTGCAGCCTGAGCTCAGCCCCTCTGCCTGTGACCGTGGGGCAGCCCCAGCCTCCCTGCCTCCACTCTCGTTCTTTCTGGTCCTTCCTCCTCCTGCAGACGAGACCTCCCTGAACTGGAGGTTTGATCACTCCTCCGTGCTGCAGACAATCTTATTACCTCCAGGAAACCCAGAATCCCAGGAATTAGATTTCAAGGGATTTTAGAGACTCCCTCATGAAAGCTTTCAGTGTGACATTCTTTGGTAACTGGGACCGGGACCACTCGGGCATCATGTTGCCCCTGAACCAAGGCCTTGATAAATGAGTCAGCAGCGGCCCACGGAATCCTGAATAGAGGACGAGAGATTTGTATCCTCTCTAGTCGAATGTCATGAACAGCGCCTGGAATAGGAGTGTCGTGAACCCGAGGCTCCTGCCTCTGAGTCCCGCCTTATCTCTCCCCACGCCCTGTCCCCTGAACTTTGCCTTCAGCTGGAGAATGAGTGGTGATTCCCTGTGGAGTCATGCCTCGGGGCCCGGGTCCCTGCTGTTCTCTGGCCGGGAAGCCTGGCCCTTCCTTGCTCGTGGGAAACACCTAAGATGCTTCCATGTCTGCACGTGAGTTCTGCCTCCTCCGGACGCCTCCCCACTGCCCAGGGCTGAGGGGCACTCTGGCCCGTGGCTCCCAGACAACTTGCACACATGTTCCTCCATTTTCATTTTTAAAATGCAGTTCTAGCCCGGCTGGTGTGGCTCAGTGGTTGAGTGTCCATCCAGGAACCAGAGGGTTGCCTGTTTGATTCCCCGTCAGGGCACATGCCCAGGTTGTGGGCTCGAACCCCAGCAGGAGGCAGTCGATCAATGATTCTCTTTCCCCCTCTTCCTTCCTCTCTCAGAAATCATTTATATATGTAGGCAGAGGAGGGAGGGGTCTGGCAGCAGGAGGAGGCTGGGGAGGGTGACTTGAGGGCCATGGTCAGGTCTCTGGGGTCTGTGTGCTGTCCGCGGCCTGAGTTTTCAGGATCAAAACTGAGCCTTAGATGCTCCTGGGAACCACCCTTCCAGGGACTGGGAGGCCGGGCTGGAATTTCAGACTGACCCCCACCTGCCTAGCTCGCTCTGACCCCGCCTCCTGACCTCTCAACCCCCCCCCCTCCCCCCAAGCCCGCACTGAGGCCTTGGTTCTCCTGCCTTTTCTAATCGCCGGCACCAGGATGCCATTCTAGATGTTTCTCAGTGACTTTGGGTCTGCCTCTCTCTAGTCTTGGACCCATTGGGTGACTCCAACATGTGCCTCCTCCTCCTCCTCCCTGCCCTCCATTCTGCACCCCACCCCTCATCCAGGGTGATAGGTGGTCCCAGGGGCCCCCATTCCCCCCCCCCCCCCCCCCCCCTTGCCCAGACAGCCCTGGAGGAAAGGCCCTCAGGGAGGCCTGGAGAGCCCTTGACCGGAGGCCTGGACCTTGGACTGTGATTCAAGCAGGCTCGTCGGCAAGCGGGCTGGAGAGGGCCGTGGGTCCGGCGAAGGCTGCGCA